AACTTAATGGGGAGAAAGCCTGCAGTAAACAAATCCTCAGAGCATTGTTTGATTGTTACATTATAGGGCTATTTGTTTAAAGTGGGGCAAATGTGAGTTAGGGGACAGTGCATCCAGGACAAACTAAGAGTGATGATAATCAAGGCAGGGCTTAGGGGGATAAAACTAATGCTTTTACCCATGAGAGCCTGTGTTTCATTTGGACTAACTCCAGCGTGGGTGATAGCATAGAGCTCCATCTGGGAATACATTAACTGGATTTAATATAAGAAAAGATCAGTATTGTTCTTTTTCATTACCAGGCCCCAAAGTCATCACCATACATTTGCTTTAAGGGTGGTGGAACTAGATTGAAAAAAAAGGTTAGAATGAACCATTTAAGTCACCTCTGCTGAAAAAATATTTTCTACTAATGCCAATTTGGGCCTTTGGGGTATGGCTTCTAGCTATTTCCAATCGTTGATCTCAATTCAGTCCTAATAAACGGGGTATGTGCAATGCGGCGAAGCTGAACGTCCCAGCTTTTAAGCAGCCTTAAGAGCAAAGCCAAGTGGCAAAAGCAATTAAGAGTTCATTTAGAACAAGTGAACTATGCTGGGGCTGTTTTTTCTGAGGCCCGGTCAACACTAATTCACAGTGTCGCCTTTTTATTCAAATGACTTCTCCCAGAGTCCCCTTTGTGTTGGTGCCGTTCTAATGCATCTCCATTAGAACAGAACCTGAGCTGCATTGCTGAAAATGAAGTTTGCCTCCTCGACTCTGAATGATAGCAGCCCTCCACCATCAGAGCTGTGTGTGCTCAGCCACTGGAAAAGGATTTTCAACCATGCCATTCAGCCAGGGCCCCTGAAGCCTGCAGCCTTTATCTGCAGACCCGTTGATTGATGTGTTGTGGGCCCTGCTGTGGTTAACAGCAATTTTTATCTGTTGCTAGCGGCAACAGCCTAGGTCCCTGGTGCGCAGAGAGCAGCAGGGCCTGGATCTGAGGCCGGACCGCACACGGGGATAAACAAATAGGTTTTTCAAGGCGGACAGCCCCCATAGAGAGGCCCCTGACAGGCAGCGCCCCACCCCAAGGCTAGGACAATGTCAGGCCCCCAGCCCACTCCAACTGGGCTGGTGGTTTCCTTCACTAATTTTCACCATGTGCAGAGCTAGTGGTATGGAGACACCTGCACACCCGACTTGAAAACTAAGGAGCGCTAGAGAGACAGAGAGCGAGGCAGACAGACTGATATACAGAGAGAGAGAGAGAGAGAGAGAGAGAGAGAGAGTCAGAGATGCTCAGAAAGATGTAGTTACGAGATTTCATTTACTGTAGAGGAACAAACCAGGGTTTTCTGTGAAAGTATAGGATATAATTTTCGCTCCATTTCTTTCAATTGCTGTGTTTAGCATTTAATCCAGTGAATCTGTGTCGTTTTGTTAAATAAAGCGTGAAGCTTTTAATGGCTTCTATTGTAATTAAGTGACATAATCCTTGTATTCGATAAAGATCTTGTAAAAAGCCTCATCACTCAGACAGGGAAGTCTATTTGCCACAATGTGGAGGCCGTGAATGCCAAATCAATTAAAAAAAAGGCTGTTTAAGAATGCACAAATGACTCTGAGACTGCTCTGCGTAGACTGTGGAGTCATTTAGCGTTAAATGTGATTTTGACAGCCCGAGCAGGGGAAATGAAAAACGGGTGTGTCTGAGAGCTCAGAGCACTCTCGCTCAACCCAAACACTCTGGCGAAGGTTTTTACTCCCTGACATCGACGACATAAACCCTTACCAAAACAGACTAGTCCGATTATACTGTCACAGACAAAGCTCTGTGTTTTTATCGTGCGTGAAAACATCAGCTGTAGGTTGGCCTTGGGTGGTTAAAAGATGAAGCGTGGGGTGACAGAGGCTCAATCACTTCATCTGGAAGAAGAGGGAGGTGTGTTGTCTTTTTCGGCTCAGCTAGAACGTCTCCTCCTCTATACAGTACAAGGGGCCGTGACACAACGGGCAGAGTTGCAGTGAGATTTTATATTTTGACATTTTCCGCATCTCTTGCAGCCCGTATCTCCCAGGCGCAGAGGGGGATGCTGGGTTCTTTATCAAGGAGCCCCTGAGAGGATGATAAATCGCCAGAGCCTGGGCCCATCTCCGCTGGAACAACAAGCAGGTAGCAGCGCAGGAAACAAGGCAAAGATATCGTCTCCCAAACATAGCTGAGGCTATAATGAAGCCTGCACAAAGCAGACAGGAGAGCGTCTGCCTGATAAACAATTCCATACCCAGTCTTCCACAGAAGGCGAGATAGCGAGTCTTAGTGCAGCCGCTACGTATCGCTGCTGGACTCAGCGGTCCAGAGATTAGCCCTCGCCCCTGAATCAGGGATGAAGGGTTGGTGGAGGGCGGGTGGCTGGAAGTGATTTCACATCTTGCAATGTCATCAACTGAATCAACACACCATGTTTTGAAAGTATACATTACTTATGGATAGTTCGTTGTTAGCTTACAATGTAAAATCATTTTTGTGGGATATTCACACACACACACACACATTTTTATGTTATCTTTTGCTGTGTGACCCTGCCCTGTATAAAGTCTTATATTTGACTATTGTTTAGCCTCTTATAAATCCAATTTTTTGATATCCTCACATTTTGCTGTTTTTGATTGTTGTTTTAACTATGAGGTGTCTTGAACGGTGCCCATAAATAAAACACATTATTGTGAGTTTCACATCACTTTGTGTGCATTACATTAGGAATGGGAATAATTTTAGTTCCCTTGTCTGCATTCAACTTAGCAAGAAGTGAAGTATTATTCTGAAAAATCTACCAGTCAAGAGCAGTTTCATTTAAGAAACGTTGCTGCAACCGCAGTGTTTGTAATCCACTAGTTACAAATCAGAAGCAAATACTCAGTTTGATAAATTAAACCAGGAAACAATGTGTTCTGTATACTACAGCCAAGCACTTTAACACAGTATGAGGGTATTTGCAGTGTCCAATATACTCTGAGGGCTCCAATTTCCCTTTTTCACGAGTCTGGCACTAAAGCCCAGAAACTTCTCTATGTTCTTGTGTAAACCATTCAAATGAGGCCATTCAAGCCTGGCAGGCAGCATAAGAGGGGAGACATATGGAAGCATAACCACGAAGAGGCGTCATCTCCCATAGAAGAAGAAAACTAACTGTCAGGAGAGATTGTCTTTTTGTACCTCTTAGTGCCTTGTGACAGATAACCAGCCCCATTCACCCGCATGATTTTTTTTTTTTTTTGATTGTTAGTGGGGAGGTGATCAGCCCCAAGGGCCAACCAGCACATTCTTGGTCCTGTCTGTGCTGTTGGTGGCCGGTGGCGCCAACTGGGCCGCTGTGCCTGCCTCATTGACCTTGCTACACCCCCTTCCCACGTTACAACCAGTCCTCCACCCACAAACACTGATCAGCCAGTTACTGCTTTAACACTATCTCCAGCCCCTAGCCCTTTCCTCCCCCCCACCCCATACCCGCTCAGCCTCTGACTGGCATTTCCCTAGAGCCTCCCAACCCTGCACCCCATACCCTGCTTCAAAACCATCATACTGTAAAGCCTGAAGCACTTACAGATAAGGAGACCCCAGAAATCAAGCGGGCCTGGCAGCAGAGCAGATTGAGAGTCAAAGCTCAGCGCCCAGGAGGTGCCCAGAGGCTACAAACGCTGCAGATAGCACCGCTGGAAAGCCGGAGAGGGAGCAAAACAACGTGAAACTTCCTGCCCTTGTTACTGGACTCTGCCTCGCTTGCACAATGCCCCTGCCCCCACACCAACACCACCAACAAGCCCCCCCTCCATCTCCACTTCTGCCCTCTCTCTCTCCGTCTCCCTCCTTCCTCTTTTCATATAAAGAGAAGGCCTTGTTCCCTGCCGACTCAAACTGACAGCTCGAGCCAAAGGGCTCCACAAGCTTTTTTGGAAGGTCTTGTTTGTTTTCATCCATCTGTGAGTATGCGGCCGCTGGGGAATAGGAATGTGACATGTTCTATTAAGACAAAAAAAATAAAAAATGAAAAAGATCGCACAGAGATCAATGCCTTTTGAAGTTAAGCTTTGTTCAGCGCTTTAACTGCAGTCCTTTGAGGCAGATTAACGATGACAAACCATTTATAGTTGTTTTGTTTGTCGGGATGATTGCTTCCAAGCTGCAATAAGAACTGCCATATGCCACTCATCAGCTAAAAGTAGCACACTTTAAAGAATGTTCCTCTTATGAGTTCCCTTTTAAGCAAAGGACATAAAGGACGACCGCTGTCGCTATTACCCAGAGACTAGACACGTCGTTGAAACAATGGGAGGGGAAGAGCACAAATTTACGGTTGGAAAACGCACTGGGGCAAGGCAACAGATGCTTTCACGGGATAAAAATAGTCCTGAACTGACAATTTGAGAGCTGGTGTACGTTTGAAGGGATTTGGCTCATGTTTTCCAAGGCATCTCTAAATATTCCTCTCGGGCACATTTACCTTGAACAACACTCTACATGTTCCATTATAAAGACCATCACACTGACTCATTTAAAGCACAGCCCGTTCCAGCAAATCATAAGACACGTTTAACTGCTATGAATCTTCTGAGGGTGTAAATGTACACGCGTTTCTCTGGTGGTGAGAAATTGTATTTATTGCATAGATGTGGGGGCCTTTAAAAGCCTTTTAGGCATATTGTCTGATATGTGAGCAAATGGATCCTCCACTGACAGTCACTGGAGGAAGACATAAAACTCTTGACAGGCAAATTGCAGCACCGTCGAATAGCGCTGATCGATGCCAATAAAACGAGGCTCTTTTCGCCAAGGTAGCACAGGACACCTTCCCGCAATTTAATCAGTCAGTCAGCCAGAATTAATGTTCCTAATATCATGATTTCTCCATTACTCTATTTAACATAATTAAAATGTCGAGCGCTGGGGCCATAAAGCGGGTCGTTGGAGATTGTAATTCTGCCGTAAAGCTATGAAGCATGAAAATGTCACTTACCGAGTAGCCGCGGCCTGACAGCGAGTGAGTGGAACTCTGTAGGGAGAGAGAGGAGAACAGGGATGACCTTTAAGGAGCGTTTCACTCGCTGACACAGACATGATGAAGCTGTGCCGCTTTAATATCAATATTCACGTTAACCTTTTAGCCGCCCTGCCATGTAACTCCCGCCTACAACACATCACTCCCATACATTCTGGCTCCCTCCACTGAGGGTAGATGAACCACACCCTCTATAAAAGTAATCAATCATAAAAATACACGGCAGAAAACCTTCATTATTTGGTAAAGTTATAGTAGTGTAATATTGCACAATGAAATTTAAGAACAGCATGAACTGTGCATATGTAAAATAAAAGAAATAGATACCTAACACAAGATACCTTATAAAATTGATGTTTAATGACACGTGTTCCAATCTTTGCCTGTTGACTTCTTGCAGCCAAAATAATTACTTCTGATGCTTTTATTACAGGCTGTAGATCAGGTGTTGCAGTGCAGGTCAAGATTAAGTGTCAGTTTTTATTTGTTTGACTTCACTCCCCTCTGTGTCTTCCAGAGTGCTGTGTAAAATGGATAGGCACACAGGGCTGACTTCATCACTTTCGTCAGTAGATGAAATGATAAAACGCACCTTGATAAAGAAATTGTTGTTTTGAGTGTGAGTGACAGCTCAGGTACCCTGCCAGCTGAATATGACGGCTTCTCTTATTCCATCTTATAATTTTTCAAGTATTTACTTTGTGCTCAAAACAAACAACACTGAGTAGATGTAGCATCAAGAAGCTAGATAACTAAGCATATTTCAGCATATGCATATATAATATATAAATATAAGGCATATAAAAGACAGACATGATAACCAAAATGCTTTATATTCTCAGAGAAGTCATGTTATTTGATCTTTATATATTTATTATAAAAGACAATCCAAACTGTAAACATTTTATTTTGTCTATGCAGACTGACATTGTCCTTAATTAAATGCTGATTATCTATAAAGTCATTACTTTGTGCGATCACAATCATTATGTTATACCAGTTCTGTTAATATGCAGAATAAATAAATATTCAGGGAGGTGTTTTGGTCCTTCAAACCCCTCCTGTTTTCTCAGAGAGCAGGAGGGCGACAGAAAAGACCAGGGTTTGTTCTGTTCTCTGGCTCCGTCTGTCAGATCCTAGCACGAATACCAATCTCTGAATCCCTCCCTCCACTTCCACTTTTCACTTCTTTTATTCCTCGCTCTAGATTGGCAATCTCTCTCCCCTTGGTCTCTGGAGGGGACTTTTCTGCAAGACCAATTTCATCCGTAGGTCCACCTTTAATCCAAACGACCTCCCCCACACCTTCACTGTGACCACCTCCCTTGTTTTGCACCCTCCCAATGCCCCCTCATCCATTGTCCCACACCTGCTGTAGGGCTCAGTCCTCATCAACGCCTGTGTGCCCCTCTGATTCGCAGGTTCCTGCGGTGACGATTAGGGAGGAGCCCTGCCGCGAACCGGAAAGCTGGCTCTGCGGGAATCAAAAGGCTATTCCCACTTTGCTAAACCCCTCTGCTCCCTTCCCTATACCACAACCAGAGAGGAGACCAGAGCAGCAGAGGGGAGGAACTGAACAGAAGGCAAAAACTGTGGATATAAAAAGGCCAAAAGTGTGTTCCAATAAGAACGTGCTCTGTTGTCTGTGTGCATGTTGTGACTGCACTTAAATGTGTGCGCTTATACATGAGTATGTGTGTGTGCAGCGCTTATGTGCATAGGTGGTGGGAGGCCAAGGCCATTTGGAATTAGCCCTACTATGTAGAGTTCATTCAACTTGGAGCATTCTGAGCAGAAAGAGAGGCTTATTTAAATGATAATGAGGGACAATCCATTGGATTTAGTGCCGGTGAAGGGAGGGAAAGAGGGGAGGGAAAAGGGGGATCCATTAAAACGCCAGCGGTTCATAAGCCATAGGGTCGGCATACAGCTAAACACTCTCTCTTAAAAGCCATTATACATGGCTCTCAATGGATTTCTGCAGCGCTTAGGACTTCAAAAGGATTTAAGAACCCGCCCAGAGAGGGAGTGTGGGGGAGGGAGGAGGACAAGTGTGTGTGTGTGTGTGTGTGTGTGTGTGTGTGTGTGTTTGTGTTTGTGCACCTGCGTGCGTGTGGTGAAAGGTTCTGGTAGTTGGTGGTGAGAGGAATGGGGCGGATGCTGGCGGCATTTAAGGGTTAACTAAACAGCCCCAGAGAAGAGAAATGTTGCTAAATCCGCCCCCTAATCCTCTCCCCATTTCCATGCCCCCTCCTCCACTCTCCTTACAAAAAAAACCGAAAGAAAAAAGAAAAACATAGCGACAAGAGGGGAAGGTCTAGTCCATCTTTTCTCAACTCAGACTATTGGTGTTTGTTGTTGAAAGAAGGCCAAGAGCCAGGCCAATCAGAACTCAGAGTATTATGTGGAAAAGGATGTGATCGTGTATGCCCTATGCAGCAGGAAGGTCAGGTAGGTGGGTGGGTTTGGGTGTATGTGGGTGGGTGTGGGTGGATACAAGAGGGTGTTAGGGACCATGACAGCACCACAACTGCCTCCCTCTCCTCCGCAGGACACAGATGCATTGGAACCCACCCCCTCCACCACCTCGCATTTCCCTAATCCCTGCGTGGCTTAGTGCCGGGGCCCCGCTGCACCGCAGGCACAATTACCTAGTCAAAATAAACAGATAAAGACCCAACCATGGCAATGAACAAACAGCATCCCCTGCAATTTTTTTTACCCCCTGCTTCCAAATTGATGCATGACTGTTTTTACAGGCGGGCGCGTCCGCATGTCGCATTTGTCTCTATTTCCTTTGGCGGTAAGACAAGAGAAATCCATTTTACTCGTTGCCGATGCGGCATCATTAGTTAAGAGCTCTTAAAGCTGGGGAGCCACTTTGATGTGGTGGAGTGTATTTTTCGAAAATTAGCAGTGCTCTCAGTGCGGTGGCGGAGATTTCATGGAGCCGAAAAAAAATTAAAACATAAGGGGAGACAATGATACGGTGCTGGTGAGGAATCTCACTGTGTGTCTCGTTTCCTGGCCTCGTCCAGGTGGACGACAGCAGCCGGCAGAGGGAAGGACAGACACAGACAGATAAAGAAAAAAGGTAAAGACGGGCAGATGGGGAGAGATGGATAGATACGGATGCCGTGGCTACAACGATCAGCGTCTGTGCACCATTTTTTTGGCAGCAGATTAGAGAGACATGCCACATCTAACACCGTCAGCGATTACAGCCTGCAATTTTCATCCATGCACCCCCCCCCTCCTCCCATCACTGCAAGAACAACCACCTCCACCACTTCTATCCTCACTCCACCACCACCACCCCCTTCATCCGTGACCCTCCCTCCTTCTCCGTGCTTGTCGTATATCCCTGTCAGAGCTGTCAACTGGCGTCGGTCTTTTATCTGACAAGCCCGCCTCTTCCTCCTGACTTTTTCATTAAAAGACAGCCTTTTACACAAATTCAAGAGAGAGGGGGGACAGGAGGGGTGGGGGGTGGGGGTGCACGAATGAAACAGAGCAGCAAGACTTCGGGGAAAAGAAAAAGGATGAAGTTGGGGAAAAAAATTAGGCCGGGTGACTTTTTAATTTTTTTTTTCTTCTCCCCATCAGGCTGGATTTTCAATTGGGAAGCTGAATAGCTGAAAACAATGTATTTAATAAGTTCATTAAAATCTTTTTCTTTCCATCATTTCACGTCTGCTGGAGAAGGAAGCTGGATGTTTCCCCTCCTCTCTCTCTCTCTCTCTCTCTCTCTCTCTCTCCACCTGCTTTCGTCAGCTAAATGAATAGTCTGATTGAATTTAGCAAGGTTTGGGAAGCCTTCTTGACAGGCATTAGTTAGGAAGCATATTTCTACATTCAGTTAAAATGAGCCACTTGGGATTTTGCATAAATTCTCATTACTTCCTCTGTATCTAAATTGCATTATTTCATCCCTTATGCTGAACCAACGCCCGGCCTCCATTTTCCTTTGCCACCTACTCATCCTGTAAATGGGCGAGCATATGGCTGCCAGCGTGGCGATAATTAGAACCGGTTCTTTAACTCGTTCCACTCCGGGGTCGTACAGGTCAGCCCACACCTGGCTGATCCGCGTTAGGTCATGTCTACATTTAACCAAGCATTGCTTTAAATAATGCCAGGCCAACTAGGTGATGCTCATTTCCTGTCTATGTGCAGCCAGCAACCAGGTTTTTTTTTCTTGCAATGCACTGGGGGATTTATGAGGTGAGAGTTGGAAACAGCAGGAGCTGCTGCACTAACTGCCCTCTGATCTCAGCCTCAGTGTTGCTGTCGTCCACCCGCTCTCTGTAACGCACTTCAGGGGTCCCCCTGCCTTGTAGAGAGCTCGTCTCTCTGTAGGAGGTCTGTGAAAAGGGGAGAGGTCTTGTTCAGGAGCTCACCTCGCTGAGCTGCTCCTTGGAGTTGCTCCTGTGCGGTCGGCTGAGCTCCTGCATCGTCTCATCCTCACTGACTTTGACTGGACGTAGCACCAAAGGTTTGATCTACAGGAGACACAAAAAAGAGGATCTTCAAAACATGATCTTCTCACAACAAAGCAATTCAGGCAAACTTGAGGTGATTCATGTTTCCTTTTTAGACCTTTGAGAGGCATTAATGATGATACTAAAAGTTGCAATGATATAACTGCAAACAGCTGCTTTATACTTTTAAAAATGGCAAGGAGGAAGAGTCAGTTTAATGCAAATGACATGGACATTACATTACTGTGAACCTATTCCAAAGCACAAAAAAGGTTTTTTCGGCTGATTAAACAAAACTTCTCCCATGCTATTGAACAAATCTACTCAAAAGTTCCAAAATATGTCTTAGCTTCATTACAAAAAACTTAAGTTTTTCCAGTATGTGGCATTCATGAGTCACACACAGCGAACATACAAATGCATACACATGCAGGTAGAAGACTGACTAGTATTAGGTAAATATCTATAATTGAAAAATTATATACTATTATAGTAGGTGATTCATTGAATGTTGCTCAATCTACCAATATAGAACTTGGACTGTGCATTAATCTTTGAATGACCTGTGATATATTAACAGGTTTATTGACAAAAAACAGAGTTTAATACTGAGGAACAGAACTTTCCATTTAAAGATTCAGTCACGACAATAAATCACACTGCAAAACAAAACCTGCGATGTAGCAACCAGGGGGCACGAATTAAAGCTCCATCTTGTTTCCTGTCACTCACCGGCATCTATAACTGACTCCACAAGTTCGAGCAGCTATGCATAACAATAAAGCATAGCTACAATGGCTTCAACTGACATTCCATGGGCTGCGGTCCTTCTATTCTTAACTCGAGGGAAACACAAAGTCGACGTGGTGCCTCAGAGCTCAATGTCAGTTTGTGCTTTGGGTAAATGCAAAGCAGAACTGGCTGTAGCAAAAACACCTGCAACTCCAAAACCTCGGCAGGCTGGTGCTTTTGTCACAGCAGCCAGCAACAGGAGTGCTAAGCGTCAATTCAGTAAAACCAGCTGTGAACTACATGGAGAGATATTAGTCTCAGTAATGGTGACAAATGTGTGTTATAGAGTGTGTATGAATGAAAACAAGATTTACAAATGTGTAAATTTGTTCTGCATAATTTAGAATACCAAACACAAAGAACATTTTATAAATAAATTAAGCTGTATTTTACATTTTATACCTACATATAAAACTTCGGTAACACTTTAGTTTAGGGAACACAATATTAGTCATTAATACATAACTAATAAGGATATCTATTAGTGCTTAGTAAGGTTTTTATTAAGCATCTGCATACATGTATTAGGTCTTAATTGAACACATTCTTATTTTTGCTTAACAACTGGTTTATTCTTGGTAAATCCTTAGAAGGCCACTAGTTGGCCATGATCATAAGTTATTAGTTTTTAGTATGGGTCAAAATAAAGAGGCTATAGACTCCTTATATACTTTCTTAATATACTACCAATTGAGACAGAGTAGCAACATATTGCGACAATGTATTAGGAGTCCACTTTGATCCATACTATATACCAGCAACTTAACCTCAAGACTAACTAGCTGCTTATTAAGGGTTTGTCAAGAATAAATGACCTATAAGAATAAGAAAATTGTTGAATAATTACCTAATACATATGTAGAGATGCTTAATGCAGATCTTATTGATCATTAACACATACACTTATTACTCATGTATTAGTGGCTAACATTGTGTTCCCTAAACTAAAGTGTTACCAAAACTTCACAATTATACAGCAAATACATTTTGCCTTTTTAATGTTTCTTTAAACGTTGAGAAATGTTGCTGAGCCAATCAATCAATCAAATTTTATTTGTATATCCCATATTCACGAATCAGAATTTGTCTCATAGGGCTTAACAAGGTGCAACATCCTCTGTTCTTAACCTTCAACAACAGTGAGGAAAAACTACAAAAAAATAACCTTCTTAACAGCTAAAAAAAACCATAGAAATCTCAGAGACAGTAGCAAGTGAAGGATCCCTCTCCGGTATGGAGAGAAGTGCCATAGATGTCGCATGTAGCAGAGCACTTCAAGGATGTAACAATATTTACAACATTCATGAGAAACACCAGTGTCTAACATTATTAGGGACGTGTTTATTATGTTTTAAGTATTTATGCAAAAGAAAAGTCTGACAGATATAAAGGGAGCAGCAATGACAATAGTTATCATAGAGGTATTGCCAATAATGGTAGAATATTTGAGAAGGCATATTGTATATCTAAGCAATCTGGTTGTAATCATAATCCATGATCGACTGCCACTACGATCCACAATCAAAATGCACCATCGATAAGAACTAAGAAGTTCAGATCCATTGCTTGATATGGTATGAAACCCCTGTCCACTACACTTCCTCACAACTTGGCACGAGTAAGCCCAACAACTAAATTGTAAAATGTAAACAATGTTTAACACAATTCCACATTTTTCCATCTTTAGAAACATATTCAAGAATAAAAGACAATCCTTTCCTTTTGATTTAATTTCTGTTTTCTGCCCATGACAACTTAATAAATCAAATTAATTAAGAGATCAAACAGTGGAACAAACTGTCGCCTTTTAGCAGCTTAAATGTAGAAATGTCAGTATGTGTGTTCAGCCACCCACATCACAGCGACCCTAATGCCAACATGGATGACTTGTTTTATTGCAGGCCATCAAGACCCACAGTTGGCGTGCATCCAAATTCCCAGCCAGATGGGAGGTTGGCGAGCTCAGCAAGGAAGAGTCTGCGCTGGTGCAGCACTGGCCAATCACAATGTCCCATGCTGCTTCCCCACCTTGGAGTACAGTGGCGATGGCCGCAGGGTGTAATCCATTTGACTAGCAGTTTGCGTGTAGCGGCTCCCCCGGTGGCTGGCCCTGGTCTCCTGATCTCCACTGTAATTTAAGCAGATCACTGCTACAATTAACCTTTCCCGGTAAATATCAATTATGGCCCCCGGCTGGGCTAGAATTAAAAGGGTCATCAGCTAATCTGACAGGTCCTGTACGCTACCACCTGGCTGGGAGAGAGGGAGGGAGGTAAGGCGGCAGAGAGAGAGTGTTTGTCTACCCTTGTGCCCACCAGCTCTCATGCCAAGTAGACACAATTCCCTTTTAATTACCCTGCCACTGCCAGGGCAAGCATGCTGATTGGCCAAGGGGCATTAGCAGTGCGCTGAGGTCAACAGTGACAGAATGAGGGTGGGATGGGGCGAGCGTGGTGGAGAAGAGGAGGGAGCTACCGCCAAACAATCACGGTGTGGAGATGGGAGGAAGAGAAACCTGGCAGGTGGGCCTAATCAGGTTTGACTTCCACCTTTACCCGCCTCTCCCTCTGCCTCGCTCTCGCTCGACTAGCTGTCAGCCTAATCACGCCTTGAATCTCAAAATAGACGGTGCCCTTTTTGATTTCCTTCTCTCAAAGAGGGAGCACAAAGGGAAAATTCCTCCTTGGCGAGGCAGGCGGGCATGGAGGCAGAGACAGAACGCCGAGGTACAGTCTGTGTCACGTCGCCGTCAAGTGCAGCGGTTGATTACTTTGTTTACCCAGCATCAGTGTTGCTGACAAATTCCTGAAGGCGTGCAAAGTGTTTCCGTCTCCTCTGGGGCCTGAAACTACATTACCCAGTCAGCAATCAAGTTGGCTATTGATCAGAGCACAGCGTCTAATTAGGCACCTACGGTTAATGATGCAGCGTGCGCAGACTGTTCCCCGAGCCGCTGTTCAACGGGACAGGAGAACAATTGATCTAGGCTGGAATTCACCAACTCCGACAAAAGATTGACAACCCTGACTGCCTGTGATTAAGGCAGGGACTAATTTCCTGTCTGGGGAGGTGTTTAATTGGCCCTAAGCTCCCAACTGTACAGCTTTCATGTGTTGTTTTTTTCCTTTTTGGTCGACTCATTAATGTTAAAGGACAATTCAGTGTGCTTCAGGGTGGGGCTAATGGTCTTTGCAGAGAAGTGATTGGTTAGTGACATAGTTCAAGGTCATATTGCCTTTTCACTAAACTTGAGGTAATGCCTTTGAAAAGCACTCTGGGAAGCCCAGAGGGAACAGGTCCACCTGGCTATTTTAAAAAGGTTTTTTTTTTTGGTGCGGATTAAATTTGTTTTCAATGGAGGTTTAACCCATATAGTATCGGGGCAAGGTTAATCAGGCTAAACATGATTAATCTGTGTGTGTGTGGGAGGGGGGGGGCAGTTTGATTTGAGATGACAGATAGAAGAGAGACAGAAAAAACATAGCTAAGTCAGGGCCTGTGTTTTACATGAATAATGTACTGGAAATTAGCTCCATTAGTCTCGGTATTGAACATGTCTGCAGTCCCTCTCTGGAGGCTGCCGCTCTGTGCTCTTTAATTATCTTCAAAGGGCCCTCCAGCATCTTAATTTCCCCCCTAAGTTGAGTAGTGTTGACTTGGGTTTGCTCATTTATACCACTCTAACCCTAGGTGATGTTACAGCCCCCCCCCCTGCTAAGACAGGGCTAGTCCAGGCATCGATGGAGACGGTCGTGGTTCACATCAGTCCATGCTAGGCTTGGCTAACTTTCATTTTCCTTTCACTCCTCACTCTCCTTTCAGTGTTGATCAATCTGCAGCCTGTCAGCAGGGAGCGGGCTGGAGGCTGGCGGGTGATGCTTTGTTGTCTTGGTCTTTTGATCCTCCCTCCTCCTTCACCTTGCAGGAGGTTTTAAGGGGGCATCGGACAGCTGTGCGGTCTCCCACCTTTTTCCTCCTTGAATAAAAGAAGCTGTTAGTCTTGACCCCGCTTTTCCTCTCCTTGCTCCGGCTCCTCTCTCTCTGCCTCGTCTCTCCCCAGTCGGCCGTCACCTGTCAACAGTGCTCTGGGAGTCTGTGCTTCAGCCTTGTCCCAGTGTCAATCCTCATTACCCTAGGATCTTGGACCCTGTTCCCCCTACCCGCGCTTTCTTTTCTATCTCTTCTGCTCCGCACTACCTCATTCAGATCGCCTGTCGGGGTTTCCCCCT